CTGGCTGTAAGGCTGTGTGCTCGCATGGCAACACTACATACAGTAGCATGGAATTAAAATCACATGGGAAGACAGACACTGACAAAAACCTTGAAGCAGACAAAATAACTGTAAGCATTCTCCTCTTAGCCACAAACTTCCAGCTCTGCATTCATCACATCTCTTCTCCTCCAGATTCCAAATGTGATTTCAAACCAAGAGTTTTAAATTTGCCCAAAACACAAAACAGAATTAGTAAAAAAGGGTCCAAATAGCAGCCTGGCAATCAAAACATTTAACTATGAGAGAGCAGAGATTTGCCTGCCAGTCTTAGTTGCAAGGACTAAGCATTTTGTATCAGACTTGTTGCACACAACACAGCAACACTGTTAGTGCTAGAACCAAATTACAGGCTCCTCATTCCCAGATGAACACTAACACAAGAATTTGATCTCATTTTTTCCTCTATGTACATGAAATGATTTCAGAGTCACAGCTTCTGTTGGAAACACAGAGTTCGTCCAGGCTCATCTTACTTAGTTGCTAAGTGCCTGGGGATTAAGGCGTTTCCGTGGAAGACTTGGGTCTGAGTGTTTTCAGGGTCTCTAAACTCCAGGACTCCTCTCTCCAAGGGGAATGAAAATTGCACAGCAACCTTACCCTCCTTTTTCTAGGTGCATAATATTGCTCTATTATGTAAAGTGCCTCCTCTGAGTAAGCTTTATGCTGAACTCCGTGCTCTCCATGCAGGATAGGTATGTCCTGAGCCAATTAACTGACCTCAAATTCTTCAGGGATTTCTGTTCATTCCCCAAATCTTTGAGATGCATAAAGACAAGTATTTCAGTCCATCAATTCTGGCCAGATTTATTAACACAAGTTTCCATTTGTATGGAAAATGGCTGAGTCTTTTGTTTGTGCTTGGATTTTATCTTGAACATCTAAATACCTATTGAAATACTCTTCAGTATTCATTTATTTAGATTTCAACTAGATTCTTTTAGATTTTTCTTTAGAAACCATAATTACTTTATAAAGCAGAAATAGCTATGTATCTCCTTGTTGTTTAATGGCATTTCATAGTTGGTGCTCTTTTGACACAAAATTAGGAAAAAACTCCTTCCTTCATGCCCAATACTGCTTACAACTTTGGGCTGAACAGCAAATAAAATTTCTAAGGGTAGGGTTTATATCTACTATCAGAGATTGACCGGATACCCACAGTGATTGATCTCAACAGTGTAGATACTACTAGGATGGGAGGGTTCCTGGGAGTACATCTCTCACTTCACTAACTATAGAAGGATCTTGGCATAGCCTGTTTGAATGAGATGTCTAGTATTTATAGACGGTTAATACCAAGTGAGATTACTGCCACCCCAAAAGTGGATTTACATAGGTCTTTACCCTGAATGTTTAACTTCCAGTGGTTCATGGTTAGTGTCACCTATGATATATTATCACCCCCAACTCAAGCACATCCATGCTTTTATTTTTTAGCATTTAAACTGTAGTGACACATCTAACTTTGAATTCAAATTTCCATGCACCACTTCCTTAGCTGTGTATTTCATTAACTTAATCTTTTTCTTCTTTTCTTTTTGTCTTCAGGACCTAACAGGAAAAGTCCCTTCCAAATTAAGAAATGTCCCAACAGCAGCACAAAATTGAAAATCACCTTTCACCTGTGCATGTTCTACATGTGATGATTTTTTTTCAGATTTTGCTTTGGCAGCACAGCACAACTGTATAATCCCCAATTAAAGTATTCAGTTGCCAGGAATTTCTGTAATATACTCTGGTTCACTAGAAAGCTGAGCACGCCTCTTTTACTTTTTGTTTATTGTCATGATTAGATAGCAACTCAGCTATTTTAGTTAGACCCTAAGGGCCTTCTCTAGAAATAAAAGAAGAAGGAAAGACTTTGATGATAGGTACTGAAGGTGAATGTTTCCTAATTAACTGGCATTGAATGCCAGAGGAGATAAGGTAATGTTGCTAGTGCTGACTTGACTTCCATAGGAAAGATCTCATGTAGTATTATTAAACTTTGACCTTTGCTGTTTGTATCTTTTGACCTGAAGAAGTCAATGCATAATGTTAATCCAGTCACAGTACTAGGAGAAATCACAACTTAATGACATGCTGTGACATCTTCGTTAAAAAGAAACTTTGGTAAGCAGAAGATGAATTTAAACAAACAACTAGAAAAATGTATCAGTAGACGGGAAGTAAAGAGACTAAAGTGGACTACAGAATTTAGTATGATAACATTACTATAGCTTATAGGCTATTATATATGTGCTAAAGCTTTTACCCACCTCTATTTTAGGCATTTTCTGAATTAAATTTTATTGTTAAAAGCTAAAGAAAGTGTTTTTTATTTCACATAGCATACTGTTTTGACTTATTAAAATTAATTTTGTGCATGCTAACAGTAATAACCAATGCTGCTTAAAATCCCCCACTTATTTATGCAGAATTTCAATCGTGGCTGCCAGTGTTAAATTGCTCATGTTACATAAATATGTGTGCATATACACAATCTGAAATTGACATATATATATTCATGTGTGTATGTGATTACATAAATAAATAAGGTATAACTTATAATTTATCTACTCTGTAGTCTGTACTCCGCTTTTCATACAACACGCAGCAGAACAGATCTCAGATGAACCAAAATGCATATGGACTTTCACTATGGACTATGTTTTTGTGCAAACTAAAAGCATTTGGTGGAAAATTTTACTGTTAAGTGAATTGTCAGTAAGTTTTTGAATTCTCTGGAGATTTTTGTGGCCGTACTTTCACTGACACACTAAATGTAACAAAACTCCTTTTTTTCTATTTCAAACGTGACACATACAACATTTTGGGTGCAAAAAGACAATTGCATGTTCATAAAAAAATTATCCAAACCTATCCTTCAAAGAGCCTTATCTTTCAATATCCAAAATACTGTTTATTCTTACCAACAAATATAGATGTTTGAGTTGTTGCATAACAAAAATGTTCCAATATCCCAAACACTTACCTGTGTCAGCTATTTTAATAAATCCAATCAGGTTGTTATTTATTAAATAATTTCTGTTTAAAAGTTTGTAGCATTGAGGGAAGTTGTGCTTGTAAATGCAGGAAATTTTACACTTAAAACTGAGTGCTGGTATACAAATAAAATTACTTCTCATGTTTTCTAATAGCAGTGTTAAAATGAAGGAGATTTCTTGTTAACTTCCCTAATATCTTGCAGGAGTTTCATAAACTGTTAAGTTCTGTACTATGTTTTGATTGACTAACTCTCATCATTTCTTCTTCAAAGTCACTGTACAGTACTGCTTAAATGACTGTATAAGCCTATGAATGACAATATCTTATTTTAAATGCTATAACCAGTATATAAAAGTGTTCCCTCCCAGACAATGAGGTTCCCACTGAATGTTCTAATGTTAGCTCATCTCTGTTTTAAATAATCTCTTGGATAAACATCCTCCCCATCTCAAACTTCCAGTATGTATTTTAAGCAGTCAGAACACCTTCAAAAGCTGGGTGATCCGCTTCTTCACTGATATGGTTTTGTATAGGTACTCTCTCAATATTCTATGCTCTACTATCTACAAACTGTAAAGTTCATGAATTCATCAAAATCACTCAAAAAATCAAATTATTGTAAAAAACCTACACAAATAAACCTGTATTTCCTACCACAGCAAAGTCAGATTAACATATTCCTATTTCGGTTTGCATTTGATATATGATCTGTTACTTTACAAGAAGTATTATTTCAAACCGGTGTGTTCATTAAGGCTATATGATTACCCAAATGCTCCACAAGAAAACAGTCACCTCTGTCAGAGGATTACACGTGAGAAATTTCAGACAGACTGAGTATTTACAATGCAATTAGATGGGTGTCAACTTCCTGCCTTTAAGAGCTGCCTTTTATATCCTTAACTAGGGAGTAATCACTGTGCTGATAATAACCCTCTATCTTGGCATCAAGCTTTCAAAGAGTACTGTAATATATAATTCCTCACATTAGTCTTTAGGAAATATGGCAGTGTCACAATAGATTGTTTATGGCCTCATGGAGAAGACTAAAATAGCTTATCAGTACTCCTTTCACAGAATTTACAGTTGAGGAGTGAGCCTCCAAACTCCATGCATAAATGAGGGCAATTGTACCAAGAAACTTTTTTGCTACCACTCCTAGAAAGAGAGTTGCCCCACCAATGAAAGGACACACTAAAGGAGTGCCACATCAATGCCAGGAACACTGAAGGAGAGGCTTGAAGTCACAATAATATTTATAAGCATTTTCAAAAGCTGTTGATGACACAGTGTGCTGCTTCTACTCTTCCTTAGTCACAGACCTCTCTCTAATCACCACCAGGAATGTCTCTTTTATAGAATATATCAAAGCTATTGACCACTGGAACAAAGGACTTAATTCTGTCAGCTTTTCCTTACTGAGGCAATTTCTAAAGCAACATTGCAGTCTTTTGATTATTTGTTTTGTTAAAAAGCCAAAGGAAGCACAGGGGGACACTTCTAGGCAGAAATTTAAATGCAGCATTAAATCAGAAGGAATATAGCTTGCCCCTTAGCAGCTGCTAGATGGCTTCTAGTCCATCAAGACCTCTAGTATGGCCCTTTGGAGCACAATCCAATGGGTCTGAAGGCTTTCTGGACAAAACCTCAGAATCACACACACAAGGGTCACCACGCAGGGTGACATTTTGGATTACATTTGTTACTGTGACACAATGGAAAGGTGCATCTTTTCGCACCCAATCACTGCTCGCATGATCTTCTCAAACTATAACATATCAATACTAAATACTTTTAAAAACCAACATAGCTTTCTAATAGTATTTTAAAATCCCAAGACAGAAGCTGCATCTGTTTTAACCACCAGGAAGAAATGCAAAAACCCAACTTCTACATGCTGATTTCAGTGTGATACTACCTGTAGTTTCTGTCCTGGACTGGGAATATCACTTCATTACATGCTGTCTTACCGTCATCCTTGTCAGGTACAATGGTAATTCGAGCGCTCGGGAATTCAGCACCAATTCTTCCACCCATGGGCATACTCAGCAAAACGTCAAAGGTCTCAGTCTCTTCATACAACGAATCATCTATGATGACGATCCGACACATTTTTTCTCGTTCGTCTTTGTCAAAACGTAGAATGCTGTTGTGATCCTCAGGCCTGGAAATGTAGTCAGAGTACGAAAGTACAGAGGTTGGGGCGGTGCCAGATGCTGTTCCTGTGGCATAAAAGGAGAATAGTCACTATGCATACCATGGTTATAATGATCCTTTTACAGAGGCTGAATTTTATGTTCATTATCTTTTAATTTCTGTGTGCTTTAATGGGATTAGATGGGTTGAAATCTCTGAACAGGTTACATTTCTGAGGTTCCTGGACAAACTACTTCCATATATGATGCAATGCAAGCACACGGCTCCTCAAATTAATCTGCATTTTTTTTCAGCTAGAAGGAATATTGTAGTCTATCACAAGAGGCACAGATTGACAAAGGAGAGCTTGTGAGGACTACAAATTAACTCCATTAATTAATTAACTTCAGTTGAAGATATTAGTGGACCAGAAATTAAATATAAAAAGAATTTGATGAAAACAAATTATTTTTATTCCAGATCACCTCAACAAAAAAGTTGCTTCATCTCTCCAGGTGAAAAATAACAATAAAAGCACAGGTGTGGAGAATCCATGCTCTGCACATAATCAGTAGGAGATTGACAAATAGAGGAAGTAGAAGGTTGATAATTAAGTAATATTATTGTATACACATTTTTTGAAGATACAACAACTAAAGGATATCCTGTGCAATCACTGCAGTGCTTTCAGTTCTGATCTTTTTCAAATATCTGGGGCTGCATAGAAAAGCCTTGCATAAGCATAAAGAATACCTTCTTCATCTCTTAACAAATAGCAGAAATTTGGAATATCATAATTTTTCTGTGGTATTCTATAATACTTTAAGACAGATTGTAAAGATGAATACATTTCCATTTGAGACTGAAGCAATTTAGGTGAAAAAGTAATTATCAGAGTTATAAAAAAATTTATTATGCAATAGATGGAACAATTCTTTTTGCTTTTCTGTCTCTTTTCTATTTTTGCCCTTTTTTTTGTTAGTAGATTCTGTTACCTTGTTGTGTGTAGCAAATAACCATCAGTTCCTGGCTCACATCTCCACTTCTTCTGACTGGAATAAATAATTCACCAACATCTTCTTCAATAGTATAGGTGGACTGAGGAATAAAGACAGTCGATTCTGCAAAGAACAGATGCACTTGCTTATGTAGATTTATGGCCTCATACACTCACCTGTAAAACAGCTAGGAGCATTTTAGCATATTCTAAAGTGCAAAAAGTAACTCTTATTTATCAGTAATGCTGCTAAATTTGAAGAAAAACTTGGGGCGTGAGAGAAGCAGAGTTTCTTAGTCTTTCGGAAATGGTAAATAAAATCAGATAATTAGGTCTGAATTCACAAGTCCTCACTAAGTTGTCTCTAATTGGACAATTTCCTTATCTAGTGTTAATGGTGCAAGACGGTGCCTGGAGAACTTGTCCAAAAGGTCTATATTTTAATTATTTCCATAGTATTTCACTATTAACTGTTAACCACAGGAGTATCAACGGCACAGCTCACGCACAGGCAGTGGCTCTGCAAGGTCATTCTGTAACTTACTACATCAAGATAAACATGAAAATCATTTGGCACTGAGGATGTAAGATTAAGCTCTCACTATCTTACTCTGACTTGGAGATTTGATGTGAGTTGGCTACACATCTACACTCCTATTTTATGAAAAAGAGACCTAGTCAATATAGTCAATGGAGTCTGGAGAGCAATCTCAGCCTAAAATGTATCATTCTAAATAATGTTAGATCTGTTTTTCAGGGAAAAAACCACTAACATGCATTTTAAACCCCTTCATTATTTTATATCCATATAAATAGGCTGCTGAGTTTTATGCTCAGGATCAATTTGGTTTGTTCCCTCAAAAACACAAGAACAAAAGGTGATTATACATATAATTATAAAGCACCTTTACAGTTTCATTAATATGACTGCAATCCTAACAGAATATGATTGTGTGTAATACCAAACCAAGTGGTATCAGCTGACTGTGCAATTTTTTTCATTATTTCAGAGCACTTTGGCAAACAATGTTCTGAAAATTGTCACATGACTTCTTTGAAAACGTGTTCCAGGTTTTATTTCTCCAACTGGAAAATACTACTAGCGTGACTTAAGGTCAAAAGCTTGCCTTAAAAATGTTGCAATTCAGGTTTGATAAGATCTAGACACTTTAACGATTCCAGCAAGTAAAAAATTCAATGTGAAAACGACCAAATCCCTACCCTTTTGTTTTAAAGTAAAACAGAAGCTAAAACACACACACACAAAATGTTCCTTTTATTTCCCCCTGTAGAATTATGTTGACAAAATGAAAAACTCTATCCTTCAAAAAAATGCAGGAATATGATTTGTTCTGTTTCCTGTCTCTCTCATAATTATCCAGCCAGGAGTAAAATGACAGTATAAAAGTTTAACTGATGTTATGAACAACATAAAAGCTCAGAGGAGAATGATCTACGTCATCTCAGCTACTATAAGGAAAAACATCCTCATGCAATCTCTTCTTGGAACAAAACATTAACTAATGTCCCATACACAAGGGGCTGGTACAGCTTTCCAAACAAGCTCAGTATTTTGGTGCTAAGACTACAGCATTCAAATCAGTGAATTTTAAAATAATTTTCACTGGAAGTAGAATAAAAATTTTGATATTTCCTATCCAGTTATTGTCCGAACTTGTTATCTCTATGCTTTAAAAGATGATTAGGAAACTGAGCTCTTCCCCACAAAGTTCTTTCTATATTTTCCTGTAGATGTTTCTTGATCTACAGTTGTGCATTAGATTTTCTCCTATGCATTTTCACTTTATGTACAATTGCTACAGATTCTCTGGGACTGTAAAAGGGAATTAAAAAAGCTATGGTTGACATTAAGAAAACTCAGATAATCATCTTTCGTTGTGCTACCTCACTGATTATAAAAAAGAGAGATTTAACATATTTTCAAGTAATTTCTCTGTCGCATATATACTGCTTTCCAAGTTAAGCACTATTTTTCTCAGTGACTAAATATGGATGTCAGATAATCTCTGGTTTAACTTACATTTGTAACTAGGAACTAAGAAACCTCTGACAGTTTTGCTGCCCAGTAGTCTTCAAATGCCAAGTAGGGAAGACTATATAAAGCAAGCTATTGTAGTCATCCAATACTTGAAAGATTCCTCAAGGACAGTTTTGTGTGGCCGTGGCCTACAGATTCAAGTGTCTAGATGCCACTGAAAAGCAGAGCAACCAGATCACATTCTATTTATTATTTTTTAAATCAGCTTCTTCCTTCACTTACATTTAACCATAATTTTATTTGTTCTTGACGCAGCTTGTGTTGAACTTGGTCTAGTGAACCTTACCCCTACTAAGCTTCTCAGTTTGATATTAAGGCCTCACTGATGCAACTAGTCGGGTCCAAGACCCAAACCTTTTGGGACCAACCAGCCTGGACTTTCCCTCTCTCCCATGAATTCGCTGCCAGAGCGAACCAGATACACACTGCAAACACATCAAACCAAAACCCTATTATACCTAAAATGAAATCAAAACTAAACAAAACAAAAAACCCAGAAATAATATATGACAGGAAAAATGCAAGTATTTCATCAAAGCATGCTACCTTAGTTACATAGTCATGAATCACTTAAAGACATAGAGGACAAATGGCTACCCAATGCCCTAGTCGGACTTCAGAAATATTCTGAGTAAAGGTAAACTTTACTAATCCTTTGTTACTCATAGCATTTGCCCTCCAGTTCATCTTGTGGTATATGCACATATGGGCAGGACACTTCAAGAAAGGTTCTTACCATCTCCTGGGTCAATAATTTCCACTGTGGATACACCAGGAAATTCCAGAACTGCCATGACAGGCTCAGAAAGAACAATTTGAAAGGACTCAGACTGCTCATGTTCACCATCACTCAAAATCCGTACTCGCCATGTAGCTAAAGTTTGGCCAGGATTAAACTGCACTTGTTTCTGGGCTTTTCCTCTGAAGTCTTTATCTTTCTTGGCAGTACCATCTTTGGTGCTAATACCTACCAAAATCAGAAATTCAGGTCATTAAAAACATCACTCATAATTTTTCCATCATTATGTCATTTTTAAAAAAAAAGAAGTTTTAGAAAAATACACTTTTCATGACTTGAGAGTGTTCAAGCCAGCTCTGTTACTCTTGATTAATTTTGAATTGCTGTCACACATAGAGGTGGAAGCACATCAATTAACATTATGAAAGACAGTTTGGACAGAATTAGACAAAGCAAAATTAACTATTAGAAAAACTCTATATTCTCTGCAGTTACAGTCAAGTTTCCATTATTCTGTAATTCAAGTATGGATCCCAAAAAGGGCCAATAGATTTTCCCTCCTCCCCTTTAACATTCTTGGTTCTCTTCTGTTCCAGAGCATATAAATACAATGCTGCCTGAAACTCACAAAAATATTTATTTTTCTTAGAAAAAATAAAAACACACCTGGAAAGTTCAGCCTTCAAGGGGAAAGCTAAGGAAAACACAGAGACACAAACAAGTAAAACATCCAGAATAAGGATGAAAAAAGATGTAAAATCTGAAACACGGTGGCCATTCTCACTACAATAAGCAATTTTTAAATTATTATCCTCTTACTTCAATGTTTGCATAATGACAATCATTAAACTCAAATCAAGTTGAAACTGCAAAGGCAAGGGATAAAATCCAGTACAGTTTATTCCACCAAGACACAAACCTTACATCCTCAGACCCAGGCTGCTCTAAAATGGCTTTTCGTTGAGGTTTTCCTCCCTGTTTAAGGCTATTTGACAGCCCCTTATGGAAATTAGACAGTCCTTCAGAACTACCTTCAACTCACGTCTCTGGCCTCTGTTTGAACCCCACAGCACCCCACTCAATTTTAATCTTAAAGGTCTTTCTCAGGTTTTCAGAAAAACATTAAAACTTCTCCTTCCCTAGTATCTCTACTATCCCCTACTAACCTTGCCTTTTTCCTTCCTTCTTGTGCCTCCCCCGAAGTCATATCTAATATGCAAGTTATTCAATCTGCTTTTGCTGGATTTTGAGTCAGCTCAATTCAGAATCACGGAATTGTCAGAGTTGGAAGGGACCTCTAGAGATCATCTGGTCCAACTCCCCTGCTAAAGCAGGATTGCCTAGAGCTAGAGCATGTTACTCAGGACTGCATCCAGGCAGGTCTTGAAAATCTCCAGAGAAGGGGACTCCACAACCTCCCTGGGCAGCCTGTTCCAGGGCTCTGTCACCCTCACCGTAAAGAAGTTCTTCCTCCCATTTGAGTGGAACTTCTGATGTTCTGGCTTGTGCCCGTTGCCTCTCATCCTGTCACTGGGAACCACTGAAAAAAGTCTGGCTCCATCCTCCCTCAAACCACCCTTTAGATACTTATAAGCATTAATAATGTCTCCCCTCAGCCTTCTCTTCTCCAGACTAAAGAGTCCCATCTCTCTCAGCCTTTCCTCATAAGGGAGATGCTCCAGTCCCTTAATCATCTCTGTTGCCCTGTACATCAGTAAATCAGTACCAGTAATTAATTTAAACCACATATCCCTCAACTTCGTATTTCATTAATTTTTTTTATTCTTTTACTTTCTTTAAAAGAAATACATTATCAAAGTAAGTTCACTGTTCAACACAGAGTCTTTTAAGTTAGTGCCTGTCCTGGTTTGAGGTAAAACAGAACTAAATTTCTGTTCAGTAATTTTACTTTTTGAGCTGGGCCTCTTCTAACTAACTAAACTCTGAAATTAACAGACTATTGTTCAGAAACTGTTCACTCTCACAGTGATAAGACTTGATTATACCAAGGAATGGTGTGCAGAGAGGCCCCTGCTTATACTTATTGCTAAAACAACCAAGGTCATGCAAATTTGTTATTTGCCCCATTGGAGGGTTGGAAGTGGAAAAGCGTAGAGGGTCCCACCTGTAGGGAGGAATGGACAGGACAGGTGACCCAAAACTGACCAACAGGGGATTCCATCCCATCTGCATTGTGCTCAGTATAAAAGCTGAGGGATCAAAGGGTCAACTCCTCTTCCTTCGATGGCCGATGTCCAAGGAGGACCCTGTCTGTTCGTCTGCCTTTGATCCTGTTCCGAGCATTCCTGACCCCAGACCTGGAATCCAGCTCCTGTCCGTCACCAAGTCCAGCCTGGGACTTTCCCATGTGCCTGCTGGTGACGTGATCTTCATCCTGGGAGCTTGATGCGGTTTTGTATATACTGTATATGTTTTTTTCTTTTTCCTTTTCTTATTATTATGTATTATTTCATTATTTATTTATATTTTCATTACAGTAGTTTAGTTTTTTCTAAACTCATAAATCTCTTTTTTATCTCTTCCTCTCCTCTCTTTGTCTTAGGGGAGGGAGGGAGGGGCCACCTATCATTCTGATTGGTCAATTCAGTCAAAACCAGGACAGTGCCTATATGCCTTAAGTCTCATGCCAAAATAGATGTCCTAACTACATCTTAATACCTGAAGCTCAGATTCTTATTCAGAAAGAGACTTAAACAGAAATCTGATTTCTAATCATGAGCATGTGCTCCGTGCCAGGCAAATGCTTACATAGCTCTGCAAAACTAGTTTTAAATTAAGTGCCTTTTCTAAGCTTACCATAGGTTTCCACATGCAACTGTATAAAGATATTGCTCCCTGGTCCAAATGCACCACCAGGAAGAGAACGGGAACAGATCCAGAAGCCAGAGACAGGTGTGAGGTTGCAGAATGTGATAACACAAGCTTTTTTCACCTTTTCACTCCCCAGACACTGCAAACAGCTTTCAACACCTCCTGTATCAGCCTCAGTTGACTGCCAACATTGACTGAAGAAAACGAGCTTAATGCTCGTAGCTGCTAATCAGACCAGCTCACAATAGCCTTCCTGGGAAATTATGTATGTTTATTGTCTTTCCAATTGCTATAACTGTATTTTCTCATTACAGGAAAAGTAAAATATGGACAGGAATTGTATTCTGTGAAGCAAATGCAACAGTGGTATCAATCAAATCAAAGAACAAAGGACTAGGTCTTGGGTTGTTAAGTTATAAATTAAATGCAGAAGACCAAAAAGAAAGAAAAAAGTGAATATTTCATCATATAACTAAAGAAATCATACACTTAGCATAACAAAAGATACTTGCTTTAATAAATAAACATACTCCTTTGAATCTAGCTTGCTTAGTATCGAACACCAGTAAAAGGACATAGCTGTATTGACACATTTTATCAGCCAGTTGGCCAATGATTTATAGAAGCAATTGATAAGGTTAAAATCAAACTTACTTATAAAAGAGGTTTCCCCCAGGTAACCTCTCCGTTTAAGAACAACATCAAGATATTTGGAGTCTTCATTTACTAAATAATACTCCTTTTCTAGTGAGATCCATGCCCAGTTTAGGCGAAAATGTTGCTTCTTCAGCTTATTGCCTCCTGCAGAACAAAATCAGATATTTATTAATTTTTCTTTTTTGTTAAATACTACTTTGTTTTTTGAGGTTAATGTAACCTGTATTCTGGGCAAGATATATATCTTATCTGGACATTACAATCCAAATGTTTTAAAGATTTAAAACTAAGAAATAGCAAGTAAAGAACTCAACCATGATACATTTGGTACCTACAGTAATAAATTTTATCTTAGATGCACACAAGCTAGTCACATTCATTCCAGAGTATGCTAATTTTCTTCTTTCTCAAGGCAAAAAGGACAAGAATTAATCAAAATACATTTGGGATGTTTTTTTTAGAAATAACAAAAATTGTGGATGATCCAATCTCCTGCAGAACTGTATCAATTATTTCCAAATAACACACAACAAAGGACATCATGCAGAACTTCCTCAATATGATTAGACTGTCAGAAGCACTGGAAGACCCTCGATATCCTGGAGACTGGAGATGATACTTACCACCTTTTAGACTGCATTTACCCACGCAGTCTGCTTCTAAAACTCAGTGTTTTGTTCACTAAATCTAACAATTTCCGCTCTTATTGGTTTAGAATTTATACATCAGCACTGTATGATTTTAGGAACAGCTTTCACACCTTCCTAGGAAATGGCTTCAACAAGACTAAGTATCACTAATACACGCCACAGTTTATAGCTATGCTGATGCCCTCCTAAACTTACATGATTGTAACTGCTGGATTAAGTATGATTGCCTCTGTCACCTAGGAAGATTTAGAGAGATACAAATGCCTATTGGAATTCTCTTAAACTATTTTGCAATGACCTATCTGCACAATATGATGAATGCCCCTCACTGAGTAAGCTGCTTAGATATGTTTTGAGAATCAATGTTCAATAGACCAAAAGATGTCCTCACAGTTCTTTTAAAACAGGCATAACTGTAGCAACACACTCCTGGTGAAGAAAGCAAGACTCCTGGGATCCTTTCCAAGGTCTCTACTGTAGCAGTAGCACAACAGCTTCCCTGCAGTCCCTGTGAACACGGATGGTTTCTGTGCCCTCAAACACTGGGACTGCCCTCAAACAGGACAGCAGGCAGCACACTCAGCTGGGGAAACTGAATGGTTAACGTGGACCAAGTCAGCATCACTGGCTGGCAGAACTGGCCTTACGTTGGAGACTGTATTTCCTCTTACAGTAATGGAAAGAACCTTCACGGTCCTCCTCAAACAAAAAATGCCCATGTATTTATCAGCAGAAATAGGGCCCATTTTTTGAAGCCAAAGCAATGCAGGAACACAGGAAGCATCCCTCAAAGTTTTGGACATTAAACTCCAGCTGCAAAACACTAAGCACCAGCCTAAAATGTGAACATGCCTCAGCCTAATCTCTTGCTTCCAGCAGAAACAAAGCTGTTGTGTCTACAATTAGTGGGATTTGTACAACTGTAAACCAGCAGGAAGTGTCTACTGAAATGGCAGACTTCATGGAGTTTTTCTTAGTCTAAAAAAGCAATCCAGAAATAACAAATGCAAACAGATGGCACTCCAAGGTCCAGTTATAAATGCTACTTTTTTCAGTTGGAAAGGTAATATCTGAAAAGAGCTAGCATCCATTTCACTGACTATAAACCAAATATATGCAAACCAGACTGAGTATCTCAAATTAGATTAACACATTTCTGATAAAATATAGCATAGCTTTACTTTCTCATGTACAGTTTACCTCCATCTGTTCACTGATTTTCCACAGTAAAAAGGCATTTCTTGCCAGCGTAGGGATTCCGGATGCCACAGATAAAAGGGCATGACAACCAAGTTCTGTATATCATCCTAGTGGTTGTGTTTGCTATCACTCAGGAGAATCCTCTAATTTCCACAGCAAGTATAAAATAACCTGTTTAGCTCACTGAAGGCAGATGCTCACTCAACAACTGTCTTCTGAAAATGTTGGCTTGTCTAAGAGGCTGTAGTCTGATTTCCTTCCCACAAGGTGCTGCTACAGAACAAGGTTTGCTCAGGTAACAAATGTCTGAAATGTGCAAGGAATTCCCTTTAGAAATTAACACTTGCCAGTGAATAAAGTAATTCTTCTGAACAGCTCAGAAACATATATAAGTATTTCAGTTCGCTCATGGTTTAACTACTGGAGGAAGAGCCAAATTGAGCTTGGATTTATCCTTTCAGTTTCTTCCATTCTGTTCCTTGAAAAATTAGGCAGACCTTCCATATGTTTGCACTCTGCTTCAAAGATAAGCTTCTGTATTTTAAATTGACCTGTCTACTAGAAAAAACAACCATACTTGTGTAATCTAACCTAAAGGCAAAGGTACTGTGTAAACAAAAGGAAGATATAAAAATATTGTGCTATACTCCTTGCCCCGCTTTGTTTTGCTCTTTGGATCTCTATTGTTAATGACAAAGGGGAAGGCTACTAACACACCTAATAAAAACCATAATGAGCACTACAAGAAAAACAGTAACTACAGCGTTAGCTATACCAGTGCTTACATTAGGTTACCCATATGTTATGTCTTCCCATTAGTTTCTTAGGACAAATGCAACAGAATGTGTCCTGTTCTTTAATCTAGTGAGAAAAGCCATTTGTGTGCCATCCCTGAACACACTGCCCAATTTAACATAATTTGACAGAGGAATAGAAGTTTATAAGATATAGGAGGAATGAAAATGCACTGCCGATTAGAGGAGAGAGAACCCATTCGTAGCACTACTGAGAAAAAATCCTGCTGCATGAGCTTACTAGAAACGAGAATATCAGACATTGGAAACCCCCCAGCTGAAGGAAAAGCTTCTAGCAGAGTTTGTATCTTTTTATACAGAAGAGATTCCAGCCAGGGGATGGAAAGCAATGGGAAATCCGGCATCATTTGTTCTACTGTGCGAAGAACTAATGGTTTAAGCACATTGTGGACACAGGCACACTATCTACAGCTTGCTTATATACAGCTCTCTTACATTTCATCTCTAGTGTCTTAAATATCTCAACCTTAAATGTAATCTATATTTGCATGTAATTACTGAACATATCAAAATTACTATACAAGAGAAAAAATCCCAGCTGTTAAAAAGGAACAGTCATATGGTGAAATTTCAGTAGCCAGCTACCAAACCAGTTCATTCCTGTCACTGATGCTATGGAAAAGTGCTGAAGTATACTGAGTTAGAAACTAAATGAGAGCATGAAATTTAGGAAGCAAAAAGCACAAGAAAGGAAATATGAAGGATTTAATATTGTTTTAATCCCACCTATTTCTTGCTTTCAGCAGTTTCATTCTATGAATAAAAAAACCCAACCCAAATAATTATTTTTAGGGGCTGTTCAGCAAGCCTCATTTCTACAGGCCTATTTCTGCCCCTGAAATAAATATTGTTCACCTTTTAGAATGTGCAATACTAAAACCATCAGATTTAGAATTGTAAGAAAAGAATATAGATATTTTAGATCTTGCTTTCTTCACTTTGTGCTTTTTAGGTTCAGAAGAAGTCTTTTCTAAATTATACAATATATTTCCCAGTCCAGTGTCCCCAAAGAATAAACCCAGTGTTGATGTTGTTGCTACTATTCTTATTATTCTTGTTATTTTTATTCTTATGGACCTCTGACACAATACAGCAGGAAACATATGATACATCTCATCTCATTTCAGGTATTTATTTTTGGGCTAGAAATCCTAAACTGTCTTTATAGCCAAAACCAGGAAAGAGGCATTTTGTAAGGCTATGACTTATTTTAGGTATTTATTTTTGAATGAGATTAGCTTTGCCTCAAAATATGCAAAAAATACGTGCATTTTTCCTCAGCAGCTGTTACAGATGCCTGTTGTGACCAGTCAAGTTGTAGAGATTTTTATTATAGTCATGTAGTGCCGAGTAAAATGAATTCCACCATGCCCAAACTAGGTGAAACTAGGCCTTTTCTACAACATAGTACAGCAAAGCACCATGCAAACATAAGATCTGTAAAGAATATTAAGAGTATAGCTTTCAGAAATTATATCAGAAATAAAATTGCACATGCCATCTTCATTTGGTTCCCCATTAAATTAATTATGTGCCCTACAAAAATATATCTATAGGCAAGTTAATTTTGCATTGCTCACTAGCACTTCCCTTGGGCTTAGTCAAACATTTAGCTGCAAGGCAAATAATTATGGTACTATACCTCAATGACAGCTTTGCTTTTGTTCCTCTCCCAGACAAGTGCTTGTAATACAAATACATCAGAAGTTTGGAGAGAGAAGCCATTATTAGAGTGCTTTTAGAACGAAACAAAAAGAAGGAGGGCCGTGTTACAATGAGATAAATCCAAAGTAACTTCCAAAGTAACTTTGCTTATATATAAATGAGACGTGGTTGGCAAGATGTTGCTGTAGTGATGCTGTTTTTTGAATTTTGCCAGAGATCAGATTTAACAGCAGTGCTAAATCAGAACATGCTAGAGAAATGAGATGGGAAGAGTTGCGAGAATCAATTAAAACTTCTTTGTAAAGAGCTAAAGCTAAGGATCCAGTGTAAGGTGGGTCACAAAGTGACTTCATGACTGACTGAGGCTGCTGAGGACAACACTCTCTGAAAATGTTTGCCTGCATGGGACGACTCAAAGATGGACGTCACCTAGAATCGGTCTTTACAGGATTCCTGTCAGCAAATTGCTCATCTGCCAGAAAACAGTGATATATTATTTTTGCACAGACCATCAAATCAGAAATTTCTAGAAAGATCAAATCATCTGGAAACTTCAGTTTCAGTTACTCAACATGAATAAAAGAGGAGGGAGAAGAGAACTTGGTCAGTAAACTGGTTAAAGGGGAAAATATTAAAATGAATATTCCCATTTAAGCATTTATCTTTCTAACTATGCTGCTCGGATATCTGCAAAAAAGATATAAAGCCCCCATGAGAAACACAGATTAGACTGTCACAACTTCCCGTCATGATGCAAAGAGCTCAGAGAAGGAGATTCAATTCCAGTTCTCTCTCCAGATCACTGGGCTGTGTG